GTCTGAGGACATCCTTTGAGTCGCTGGATCCTGCCATGCCTGAAGCTATGCCTACCCCTGAACTTTTCTATTATGAGAGACAATAAACTCTCTTATTTCCTTGAACCAGGTTGAGCTGGGTTTCCCTCATTTGCAGTCCAATGGTCTTAACCAATACAGATACTAATTGAAGTGCAATGTTGAAAGGTTAAAATATTTATTTAAACTAATTTTTAAAAGTTTTTACTGGCCTAATTATCAGGCTTTTTTGAGTATGGACCGATAATGACTCAAACTATCCCAAGAAAGTAGGGACATTTTTAATCTATATAGAGTATTTCTTTAGGATAGGGAAAAATAGGAGAATGGAAAGAAAAATAAAGGCACAGACTTAGCATACAGGCCCTCAGTCATCACAAGTAACAAGGGTTGAGTTTCTTGCCTTTAAACGTGCCAGGTATCCAAGAATCGTCACGTCTTTCTTAATATGAATTTCCAGAATGTTCTGACAACTCTTCACACACAAAAAGTGTTTATGGCCATTATCTCTTTCGATCTTTACTATAACCCTGTCTCTACCGTCCCTAAGGTATTATGGTAGCATATGCATGGGATTGTTCTGGATCTGGGAGATGGAGATCACAGGAGAGGAGTTTCTGCTGTAAGAGTTTCTGTATGTATTAACTTGAAAAATACTTTTTATGTTTTTATAATGGAAGCCCTGCTATTCATTTTTGTAAACTTTCTCTTAAGAGCACATTTAAAATATCTAAATTATTATTACTTTTTTAAAGATTTTATTTTTTTCCTTTTTCTCCCCAAAGCCCCCCAGTACATAGTTGTATATTCTTCGTTGTGGGTCCTTCTAGTTGTGGCATGTGGGACGCTGCCTCAGCATGGCTTGATGAGCAGTGCCATGTCTGCGCCCAGGATTCAAACCAGCGAAATACTGGGCCGTCTGCAACGGAGCCCGTGAACTTAGCCACTCGGCCACGGGGCCAGCCCCTAAATTATTTTTAACAAAAATATATTGTTATGGGTTGAATTGTGTCCCCCACGAATTCCTGTGTTGGAGTCCTAACCCCCAGGAGCTCAGAACATGACCTTATTTGGAGATAGGATCTTTACAGATCTAATCAAGTTAAAATGAGGTCATTAGGATGGGCCTTGATCCAACATGACTGTTTCTTTATGAAAGGGGAATTTGAAGACAGACATGCAGACAGGGAGAGCATCATGTGAAGATGAAGGCAAAGGTCGAGGTGATGCTTTTCCAAGCCAAGGAATGCCAAAGAAAGTCAGCAAACCTCCAGAAGCTGGGGGAGGGGCGTGGAACAGCCTCTTCCTCACAGCCCTCAGAGGGAACCACCCTGCCAACACCTTGGCTTTGGACTTCTAGCCTCTAAATTTCCCCCCTATATATTAATATGTGCCATATAGAGATACACAATGTATGTCATATATTTGGAACTCAGGCAAATGAGAATAAAACAATCCTCTCTACCTCATAGGCTTATTGTTAACAAAAATACATTTTTGTTGATTAAGCCGCTCTCTTTGTGGTGCCTTTGTTACAGCAGTCCTAGAAAACTAATACGACTATTCAGAGCATCTCTCAGAAACAAAATGGTGATGTTCACTCATCCCTTCAAACTCACAAGTTAAAGATCCATCCAAAAAAAAAGCCAAGAAGCCCCCACAGAAAGAAAGAAAAACACCCTTGCAAATTAATATATACATTTTACATTTGCTTTTTCAATAAAATAATTTTTAAAACTTTAAGGAATTCGCAATCAATTGAACAACTAGTTTATAATATCTTTTCCCAATGAGAGTTGTGGGGAGAAGGGAAGCTATATCCATTTAACAGATGAGAAAAAACGCTCATCAGGCATAAAAGCCGTTGAGTATATCATCCGATGCCAAATTTTACACTCCAGATACCATTTTTGTGTTCGTTCTTTCCATATTCAGTGACAAAGAGCCTGACCACAGAAGCCTCTCTTGAACAGCTACTTAATAGACAAGTTTTGGTCTCCCTCTGAGGACACCAAATAAAAGAATGGAGAAGGAAGTGTTAATAACTCCAGATTACAGCAATTCAGTAAGATGCAATTTTGTAATGCTGTTTTATTCACCACTGAATGGCTACCATTTCAAACTCCTACATCCCCATATGCTTTATATTCATTCTCTCATTTAATCCTAACAATAAGCCTATGAGGTAGAGAGTGTTGTTTTAGTCTCATTTGCTTGAGTTCCAAATATATGGCATACGTTATATATATATACACTGCACATATTAATATATATGGGAGAATTTATATATTTATATACGTATATATCTATCCATCAATCCATACATGCATACTTATATATAGACACACATACATATAATAGAAAAAAATATCTTTTCACAGAAGAATGCAGTGCAGTTAGTAGATCACAGTGGCCACAGGCTGTGGCACTTTGGGAGAAGCTTGGTACATTTGGTGGAGCCTTATAAGAACTGATGCTAACAAAGTATTTAACAATAGCAAAAGCCTGGAGCAAATATGAACACAAAGATAACACTATCATAAGGAAAGTCATCTCACCCCTGGTTGATTTCACCCACATGATGTGGCCATCTTAGGAAAGTGGGGACCACTAAGCAGACATTCCAGAAACATGTCACATTATTCCCAGATTCCAAGTCTCAAAACAGATTGTTGTAACTTATGTAACTATTTGCAGTGAGTTGCTGTTCGGATTCACCAGTCTATCCTTTGCTTGAGACCACGTATGTGGTGGCTTCCATTAGACTTGGAATACAAGTCTAAGTCCTTACCATGGCCTTTGTGTCAGCCTGGGTCTGGTCAGGAAAGCATTTTTAAATAGGAAATGCAGCAAACAGGTGATGGAGGACTGAAAAAGCAAAAAGGGAACATTGAGTTACCTTCATAACAACTGCAGGAAGTAGTTCCCCCCTCTAGGCTGGAGAACAAGGAGAACAAGTTGGGGTTCTCAGAGCAGGAGCCCTGGAGAGCTGGTTCTTCTGTCTCTAACAAAGGGACACCATCACGTTGGCTGGTCCCTTAAGAGCTATGGGAGGGGCCCTGCAAAGCTGGGCTTAGAACTCTGGAGAGGGGCTGCTTCTGGCACTGCTGAGGGAGCACACTGAGGCTGCTCCGGGAGTGAGGAAAGGACCTGGAGACCGAACCAACTGACCTGCCACAAATAAAATGTCATTACTTAAGTGAGCCTGATGAGAATAGCAAGTAAACAGGCACGAGAAAGTCTCTTGTCCCTCTCCCTGCCTTCCAGTCTCCCTGTATCCTCTCCTATTGACAGAACCTAACGCTCGCTGACAAAGAAGCAATATGGTTTGCAGCTACACTATCACAGGGCAGCGTAGAAAAAAGTGGATTTGGAGCTGAGAGAGCAGCACAGGCGTCAGGGGCCGATGTGACCTGGCCCCTACCTTTTCAGCCTGATCCCCTCCACTCTCACCGTCGTGGACGCACACATTGCGTTAGTTTGTTTTCTTTCCCAAGCACACCAAGCTCGTTCCCCGCTCCAGGCATTTGCACCTGATCTTCCCTCCACCTAGAAGTACCTTTCTTATTTAGGGCATAATTTAAAGCCGCCAATTCAAAGAATGTTTCTCTGACTTCATCAATCTAAAAAAGCAATCCTTTCTCCAGTCACGCTCTATAAAATTCCCCATATTCATTTTACTGATAGCATTAATCACTATTTAATATGTTTTTAAAACTAATTCCTTGTTTGTTTCTTCCCTAAAAAATATGGGGAAGGGTTCATGTCTTTTTGCCACTGTGTCTTTGGGGGACCAGATAGTGCCAGGTATACAGCTCAACCAATGTTGAATTAATGAATTTTAGAGAAAGTGAAAACCTCTATGCACTTATGGAAGCTGGAAGGAACTTTGGAGATCACAACCCAACTCCATCATTTGACAGCCAGGGAAGTCGAGGGCCAGAGAGCTGAAATAATGGGCCAAAAGACATACAGCAACTTAGCGCCAAAGTGTCACTTTCTACTTTTCCCTGTACTTTCACATACCTCACCTTATTTGGCTTTCCTGCTTTCCTAGTGTAATGGTAGGGTCCTTGGGCAGTGGTGGGAGTCTCCAAAACCTTCTTGGGGACCAAAGAGAGAGAATGAATAAGGGACTCTTCCCACATCCCCAGGAGGAGCCCCCAGGGAAGAGCTCTTACTGCACACTTTCCGTGCCTTCAAAGCAGAGAATACCCATGCCACCCGTGCTGCTCTGGGAACAGTGATGAGGCTCTCCTGGGTGGAGAACAGGGCATGGTGGTTTCCCTGGGGTTAAGGTAGCCATCTAGTGGACTCACAGTCAAAGAACTGATCCAGGCCGTGTAATTAAACTGCTGGGTGACCTTGGGCAGCAAGTAAATTACCTGTTCCGTCTGGTCCTGTTTCCCCATTTGTAAAATGGGTGGGTTTGTTGGGGTAGGATCTGGGAGGTTTACCCGCCGACCCTGTTAGTTGGTAGGAACCGTGCCAGATGGTTTTGAATACTAGAAGAAGAGACTCAATAAACCTCTCAAATCTAGGAGTGAATGAATTAAACTGATGGAGGGGTCAAGGTTCTGGAGATGCCAAACTGCTAGGAGAGCTATAAGGCTTCCCAGCTCATAAGGGCAGGTGAGGGGTCAACGGTCGGGTTCCAGTCAAGCCGGAGAAAAGCCGGAAGTCCCAGATCCTGTTCACTCTGAGCTGGAGCTTCCAGCCACGTGACTAAACCTCCCAAGACCGAGCTTCAGCACCGGGAGAGGGTGGGGTTTGGGGCTCCCCAATGGCAGTGCGGGTGTCCTTCCACCACAGCCAATCAACGCAGGGAGACGGTAAAATTTAAACGCCCTCCAACCCCCTCCACCAGGACCTGTCCCTACAGCGTTGGTACAAAGTGCCGCCGCTCGCCCCGCCCCCGCCCAGGAGGCGGGGAGGAGGGCGGGCTTTCCCCGCTGAGCTCGCCTATCACGGCAGGCGGCCTGAGGAGAGGCGGGCGGCGGCGCCAATCAGGGCGGCAGCCGGCGCTCGGCGGAGCAGTTGGCTACAGTTGTTGCAACTTTTTTCGAAAGCCGCGTTTCCCGGGAGATCCTAGGCGGTGACAGAGCCAGGCTATGGCTAGAGGTATCTGCCCAGGTGGCCAGCTCCGGCCGGCAGGGGTGGGGGGCGTCTCCCTGGAGGAGGGGCCGGGGTAGAGGGAGAGGCGGGAAGGCGCCCTCCTGCAGGCTGCTCCGACTGAGCGCGGGGACCGGGAAGGGGGGAAAGGGGGGCTGCGGAACCTTCCCCGCCTCCCGTCCCCCCCCCCCGCTGCTCTCCCCCTCCCTCCCCTCTCCCGAAGCCTCCAGAAACCTCTCCCACTGCCGTGCCTCGGTTTCCCCTCTCTAAAGTATGGGCAACTGTTGGCCTGCCTCTCCAGAGGCAACGTGTCCATATGTCAAAGCTGTTTGGAAACTAAAGCACAGGGCACCTCCAGGGAATGGTTGCTATTGATACACAGAGGAGGGAGGGTGAGGCTTCGCCTGCTTCGGTGGGGGGTGCTCTCTCTCGTTGGGAAAGGAGGCGACCCCGAGGCGAGGGCGCTGGTCGGTAACCTACGTCTGGGCGAGCGCGTGGGAGTGGCGCCTTCCTTCCCTCCCCACGCCCTGAGTCAGTCAGCGGCCCCGCTGGCTCACTTTGGGGTGAGATGGGTCTCCTGGCATCTCCCGGGGCGGCCCTTCGTCTCCTGCCTACGGGAGATGGCTTGGGTGGGATTGGACAGCCGCAGGAGGCGATGTCCGGGCCTGAAGTCCTTTGCACACTTAGTTTGCTGTCAGGACAGTAAGACCTACGTTATGCGGCAAAGTGATCTCCAGCCGCTAGTCATTCCAGCCGCTGTGTCTCCTTCATGTAAAAACTTGAGCGGGACGGTTGCGTGGAATTATTATTTAAAAAATATATAACTTGAGGTTTTACATCTTTCTCAAAATTCCAAGGCATTGCATGTTAGTCGGAATTTCCTTTAATGCAGTATGCTCCCTACAGCAATAATAATGAATAAAGTAAGGACTCACTCAGCAAATATTTATTGGGCTGGGCCCCTTTGTTTTCAGGCCCTGCACCCAGTTGCATCATTTATTCTCCCAGCATCCCTTTAGGGTCTTTTGGGACAAGACTTACCCAGATTCTGATTAAGAAATGAGGCATAGTGAACTTCAAGTTAAGGAGCTTTATAACCTAATCCACAGAGAAAATTAAGACAAATATTTTCAGATAAGCGTTAAGCATTTAAAAATATACTTAACAGTATCTGACAAATCTTAATAAAATTATGCTTCCCTGGTTCATTTTTCCCATCATAGAAAAATATTTAAACTACCTATTTCAACTGTACTGCATTTGGAAGAAAAAATAGCTTGCTTTAATTAATCTATGGGGGGAAATGAAACTAAGCACTTTGCCATTGAAATACTTAATATGGGCAAATAATAATTACCATTGAGGGTCAGGCACTTTATTATCTCAGTTAATCTTTACAAATTGTTGTTCCCATTTTTCAGAGGTAGAAGCTGAAGTCCAGAGTCACTGACCAGACTCTGGCCATGCTGTGTCATTGCTTGTTCCACTCCACCTCCCTTAGCCAAAGCAGAGACAAATTTTCCAGCTTCTTCCATGGCAGGCTTACAAATCACCTTTGTAATTTATTGGTTAGTGATTCTCACTGTCTCACTTGACCCCTAAACTTGTAGTTACTTATTTCATAAGGCTTTATTACTATTGAAAATTATTAAATTGGGCATTTAGTGTCATAAATATCAAATCATTTACTGTACTTCAAATGAAGGATCAGTCTTTTTCTTCTAGAAAAGCAGGCTTTGTTCCAAACTTGTAGTTCACTTTGAGAGCCCCGCTGGGTTACATGAACAAAATGTTCAGATATCAGGGAACTCCTCTCTGGTTTTGGAGCTTTACAGTCATGTAAATGTTTTCAACCTCGACTATATTAGTTTGAGGAGGATTGGTCCATCTGCCTTTCTCCATCTCTGCTGCCATTGTTGGATGGCTCCCAATTGATCTCCCTCTTTCTACTTTTACCATCTCCCATTTATTATCCTTTAGCAGCTAGAGTGGTCCCCAAAACACAGATTTTTATCATGTGAGCCTCAGTACTCCCTCCTCCCCCAACCTCCCCATTGCTCTTAGGAGTAAATCCATAATCCTCACCAAGGCCTATAGGGCCCTACTGACCCCTCTGGCCTCACCGAGCTCCATCTGTCTTTATGTTCACTGTTGTGTCCTTAGCACAAGGCCTGGAACAAAGTAGGTATTCAATAAATGTTTGTGGAATGAATGAATTGCTATTTTAGTGTCTGACTTCAAAGGAAGCAATACACATTCTTTATGGTAAAGTACCTCAGACAGCAGAACTGAGTTCAGATCCCAGCTGCATCATTACCTTCGTCTTGTAACTCTTAGGCAAGTGACTTGTCTTCCCTGAGCTTCAATTCCTACATCTGTGAAATAGGAATAGTACAGATTTAGTATGATTGGGAAGGTTAAATTCAATAATGCATTATTACAGGGCCAGACATAGTAACATAGTAAACATTCCCGAAGTGTTAGCTATTAGTATCACTGCTGTTGAATCCTATTTCTCTGAGATCCTGGGCAACAATAAGAGTTTTTATTTCTGCTGGTGGGTTTATTTATTTATCTGTTTATTTGAGGAAGATTAGCCCTGAGCTAACATCTGCCACCAATCCTCTTTTTTTGCTGAGGAAGACTGGCCCTGAGCTAACATGTGTGCTCATCTTCCTCTACTTTATATGTGGGACACCTGCCACAGCATGGCTTGACAAGTGGTGCATAGGTCCGCACCTGCGATCTGAACTGGTGAACCCTGGGCTGCTGAAGCAGAATGTGCAAACTTAACTGCTGCACCACTGGGCCAGCAGCTATTTATTTTTTAATTACTATTTTTTTTTTGCTGAGGAAGATTCGCCCTGAGCTAACATTTGTGCCAATCTTCCTCTATTTTTTATGTGGGTCACCACCACAGCATGGCTGATGAGTGGCATAGGTCTGCGCCCAGGAGCCAAACCTGTGAACTCCGGGCCACTGAAGCAGAGCGTGCTGAACTTAACCACTACACCATGGGGCCTGCCCTGGTTATATTTATTATATGCATATGAACAGCTCATGTACAGAGAAAGGAAAGACTATTTTGAAACTTATACCGAATGATTTATATCACATATTCTAGGTACTAGAGCTGCAGAGTTGGGAGGAATGAGTGCTGGATTTGTATTTTAGTGTATCCCTTGCATTTGAAGGCTACCATAGAGAAAGCTATGGCCATGAGCATGTGTGTATAGTGTGTGAGGCGGTGTTAAAATAGTATGGGAAGTGGACAAGATGATCTGAGTGGCTGCTTCCTGCTCCCAAACTATGATTCCCACAATAGTTTGGCAACAAACCCCAAACTTCCTCTGCCCGTCAGGTGTAACAGACACTGTTTCACGTGGCTCGGCCTGGGTGTCAGAGGGTCACTTTAGAATCTCTTTCACTCTCTGCATAGTCTCTTGGGTATTCAAATGGGCTGAGTACCCTACCCCACTGGAGTTACTGGTTGAGGTGGGGACTTGGGGTAGGGTGGGGGGTTCCCCAGTCCTGCCCGGAAGGATGCTAAAGCATGAGCTGGTTGGGGAGGCACTGTCCTGAGCGGTGCCCTGCTGTGTAATCCTACTCAGTCTTATCCCTTCTAAGGAGAGGCAGCTACTTAAAGTGACAGCTATTTGTTTATCTGTGGATGTTGGGGGGGTGCTCCGGGTGGGTGATAGAATTCAAGTTACTTGGTTTTTATCCATGAGGTTGCTGAGGCCTAGACTGGAGAAGTGACTTGGCCATGGTCACAAAGAAGCTCTGAGGCAGAGGTAGGGAGAGAATCTAAGTCATTGCCTCCCAGGCCATGACTCAAACAGCAAGAGCTAGACGCCCCAAGGTGTCTTGTTTGCATCTATGACTCTGCACAAATACTGTGACTCTTTGGCTGTGGGCCCTCAAACCCCAATGCCTCCAGCAGAGTGGCGCAGGGCAGTGAGCTCTGCTGAGACAAGACACCAGGGTACCTGGAACCCCTGCCTACCAAGGACATTTTCTCATGGAGGGGACAGGAGAACGGGGTGACTTGCTAAACCCTTCTGCAACGCTCTTTTCTTTAATCTCATCAGTAATTGGGAAGGGTAGTGGCTCGGAGTGTAGGCTCTGGGGTCAGTTGGCCTGGAAATGCATTTCTAGTTCTGAGAACTTGGTCAAGCTCCTCACTTCTCTGAGCCTCCGTTTCCCAGTCTGTAGCAAAGAGATAATAATGGTGTGTGCCTTCATAGGGCTGTCGTGAGGTTCGAGTGAGATAACTTAGGCAAGAGAAGCTCCCAGCAAAGTTACCATTGTAACTGGTGGATCTGTTTCCCCAGGCCCTGTACCGGTCGTGTGCAGACCGCCTGGGTTTGACGCCTGATCCCATCACTTTCTAGTTCTGTGGCCTTGGGCAAGCCCCTGCATCTCTCTTGAGCTTCAGTATCCTCAGCTTAAACGGGTTTGCCACAGTACCTGCCCCCCATGGGTTTGCCCGGAGGATTGAATGCCCTTAAAACGCTCCGTGAGCACAGCTTCGGGCACACAGGAAGGCTCTCGCTTGTCGCGTTCCCCGCTGCGGCTTGCGCCTGGCACGGACGGGTCTCCCAAAATACTCGTTGAGCCAGCGAGAGCAGGCGCCCGGCCGGCCGGCAGCCTGCGCTGTCATTATCGAGTTTCCCACCCCTTCCTCCCCGAGTGGCCGCGGCCGCGCGCGAGGGGGCGCGCCCGAGTTGGGATTCGTCGCGGCCGCCAGGCCCGCCCTCTCCTCCCCTCCCCTCCCCTCCCCTCCCCTCCCCCCGAGCCTCGCGGCGCCGCCCCTGCCAGCCCCTCCCGGGCCGGGAGCCGGACGGTGGGCGGCGGCGGCAGCGGCGGCGGCGAGCGGGCGGGCCGCGGAGGACGCGCCGCCTGCGCTCCCTCCCTCCTGCGTCCTCGGTCCCGGGCCGGCCGGGCTGCCGCGGCGCGCGGGTCCGGGCCCTGCTCGCAGGCCATGGGGGAAGGGGGCGCCGTGGGGCGCCGCCGGCCCTTTCCCGGGGCGCCGCGGCGGCGCTGGTGGCGGCGGCAGCAGCAGCAGCAGCGGCAGCGGCAGCGGTGGTGGCCGGGCCGCGGCGGCGGCGGCGAGAGCGAGGGCGCGGGGCGCGCCGCCATGGGCCTGGCCGGGCTGCAGGTGGGTGTGTCGGGCCCGGCCGCGCGGGGGGCGGGCGGCGCGCGGGGCCCGGCCGGGCCGGGCGGCGGGAGGGCGACTCGGGCCCGGGCCCGGGACGGGCCCGGCCGGCCGGCTCCAGCCTCCGCGCTGCGCGGGCGGCCCGCCACCGCCGGGCCCTCGGAACATGGCTGCGGCGCCCGGCCCGGGCGGCCCCGCTCCCCGCCCCGCCGCGCCCTGAGCGCCCCCTCCCCCGCTTCCCCCGGGTCCCCCTCTCCAGGCAGGAAGATGTCCAAGCCCCGCGCGGTGGAGGCGGCGGCGGCGGCGGCGGCGGTGGCAGCGACGGCCCCGGGCCCGGAGATGGTGGAGCGGAGGGGCCCGGGGAGGCCCCGCACCGACGGGGTAAGCAGGCACCCTCTCCGCACTCAGTCGGCGCGCCCCAGGGGCCGTGCGGCCCGGCGCCCCCGCCAGCCCCGCGCCGCGAGCACGTGGGCGCCCCCCCCAGGCCCCCGCCCGCGGCCCCGGGGCGGGGGTGCGGCCCGGGCGCCCGGCCCGGCTGCTTCCTTTTCTGCTGCCTGCCTGGGAGTGGCGTCCACCCTCGCTCCGCCATGACCCTGGCAATATTTGACCTCGGAAAAGTTTGTGTCTTTATGGCATTTCCACACCCCGAGACCCAGTTCCCCCGGAGGTGGCTGCCTTCCCAGGGTGTCCGGGGCCTGCCCGGGTCCCTCGGAGGGGGGTCGTAGGTCTCGCTGACTTGGTGCTTAATGGTTCACCAGGCAGAAGGGCCCTAGCAGTGTTTCTGGGAAGGCCCTCCTCCTTTCTGTGCTTGCTCAGAGGAGAGGCCCCACACCCAGGGACACCAGCAGTGACCTGGACCGCCCCACTGGCTTGGGTACCCTCCTGTTAATGCCAAGATGCCGTTAGCAATAGAGTGACCACCCATAGGCTCTGCTTTTGTCAGCTCTTCACCCCACCCCCAGTTGCCCTGGGAGAATTCCCCCAGCCGCAGTCCTGTCTGCAGTCCTGGGAGGCTGCTGGAGGCATTGATTTGAGAGGGGCCCGGCTTGGGCCACAGAAGGCTCAGGCAGTAATGATAGGTCCTGCCAAGTGACCTCAGGACCAGAAAGTGGTTAATCGGGTTCCCCCAGGCCTGTTTCTGTGCCCGAGGCCCTGCCGCTCGTGCCAGGGGAGTTAGCTCCTGCACAGAGGCCAGCCCTTCAAATTCCAGATTTGTTTACTCTGGGTCATTCTGACCTCCCTGCTACTGGTAGGTTGTCTCCTTCTTATATAGATCTCTGTGTCCAGCTGGTTCTCCTGCTGGCCAGATGTCTCCTTAGTGACTGGAATTAGAGACCACATGTGTTCTGGAAACATCTGACTTGGACCTGGGAGATTCTAACCCTTCTGCTGCTCTCCAGGGGCTGGCATCCCCCTGGTATCCCAGTTTTTGAGAGATGATGTCTATTTTTTGTCTTTTGTATTCTGGTTGTTCCTTCTCTGCGTAAATGCTATGGGATCTTCTTCAAGCCTCTTTCAGAATATGCATTTGTCGTTTTAGGAGAATGTATTTACCGGGCAGTCAAAGATCTATTCCTACATGAGCCCGAACAAATGCTCTGGAATGCGTTCCCCCCTTCAGGAAGAGAACTCAGTTGCACATCATGAAGTCAGATGCCAGGGGAAGCCATTAGCCGGAATCTACAGGAAACGAGAAGGTAAGCCTCTGAAATGGCCCTCTTCTGACCACAGCTGCTCGCGTTGCAGAAGCCTCTGACTTCCATAATAATGCATAAATATTAAATTTTTATCGAGCCTTTTAAACCCAGGTTCCGAAGGTTTGAACATGTTCTGTCTTGCTGCTAAGAACACAGACGGAGGGGAAAGGGTGGCCTGGCCCAGGGCGTGTCCCGTGTGGTCTAACAGGTTCTCCCTGCTTTCACAAGAGTTAGTATGTGCTTTAAGCTTGATTGTCTTGCCAGGTTGCAAAACAGTGCACCTGACCTGCAGGTAAAGAGGCTCCCAAGTGCCCACAGTGCAGCAGCAGTGAGCCTGGGTTGTATAGACCAGGCGCTCACAAAGCTTGCAATCCTTGCTGTGTTCTGTGAACGCAGGCAACTGACTTCCTTCCCTTTTTTGAGCTGGCCTTGACCTTATTTCTAAACTTCTTTTTCACTCAAGTGTTCAGTGCTGCTCTCTAAAGCAGCATGCTCCATGATGAGATTTGGAGTTAAAATATTGAACAAGAAGATACACCTTTCTTGAAAATTCTGTCTGGTCCTGCTAAACAAGCTGAAGCCTCACAGAAGTTTTGCTCTAATTCAGATATTCCCTTTTAAAGCGGCAGTGGGGAGTGTGAGCTAACCCAATTCACCAGGCTTTCTTCTAATTAAAATTTGCTTTAAAGAAGCAGAACTCAGGCTGCCAGCAGCTCCATACAAGGAAGCCTCGTGTTCATGAACAGAAATGCCATAAGTGATGGTTTAGCCCAACCTCTGGGGCCAGACCTGAGAACCAGGGGCGAGGAAGCCCGGAGCCAGGGGCAGGAGCCAGCCCTCGGCCTGAGTCCCCTGGTGCACAGGGCGATACTATGTCAGTCGGTCATCACATGACTTGGGTTCTAATCCTAGCTCTGCCTCTTACAGGGAGGAGGCTTGGGCCAGTTGCTCCTGTTTTCTGAGCCCCAGTTCTCCCATCTATAGAGCGGGAGAGAGAGGAGCCCGACCTCGCAGGGCTCTTCTAAAGGTGACTTACAGCACAGATGCACGAGCGCTTTGTGAAGTGCTCCCTCCCGGGAGCCCTCCCTGCGCTGGACTGCGAGGGTCGCTGCCTGCTCCTCCCTGCACTGGCAGCACTTAGGGTAGCACCCTCCCCTTAGGGCCTGGGGAGGGGGTTCTCCCTAAGTGGTAGTCAGGCAGTCTCATCCCTTCTTGAATGGGGCAGCATGTAAATTGTCCTGAATGGTGACATGGCACATAAACTAGCTTGTTGGGCTCATAGTGTTACTCAATGACAACAATTAGAGTTTGGGGCCAGGTATACTTTGGAGGAGGGCCAGGCTCTTGTCCTTGCTTCTCCACCTTTTCTCTGCCTCGACGCAGACTGACGTGACAGCTGACATTCATGGACACCACACACTCCTAGGGTTTTGTATGACGTCCCAGCCATGACTCCCTCTCATTCTTCTCAATAAGTCATGTAAGGGGGTGAGAACAGTCTGGATGGGTTCTACTGTATTTATTTATCTTTCTCTCTTGTTTATTGAGATATAAATCACGTATCATAAAGTTCACCATTTTAAAGTACACAATTCAGTGGTTTTTAGTGTATTCACAGGTGTGTGCAACCATCACCACTAATTCCAGAACATTTCATCACCCCCAAAAAGAAGCCCATTAGCAGTCACTCCCCATTCCTCCTCCCCTCACCACAGGCTGCCACTCTTCTACTTTCTGTCCCTATGGATTTGCCTATTCTAGACGTTTTGTATAGATAGAATCGTACACTATGTAGTCTTTTGTGTCTGGCCTCTTCACTCAGCATCATGTTTATGAGGTTCATCTATGTTGTAGCATGTGTCATTCCTTTCTGTGGCTGAATAATATTCCATCATGTGGATATACCACATTTTATTTACCCATTCATCAGCTGATGGACGTTTGGGTTGTTTCCACTTTTTATCTATTATGAATAAGCTGCTACAAACATTCATACTCAGATTTTTGTGTAGACGTGTGTTTTTAATTCTCTTAATAGATGCCTGGGGTAGAATCGCTGGGTCACACGGTAACTCTGTGCTTAACTTTCTGAGGAACAGCCGAACTCTTTTCCAAAGGGACTGCGCCATTTTGCATTCCTACCAGCAACGTATTATTTACTTATTTTTAAAAAGTAAATCATTTTTTTAAACAAAGTGAATAGTCCACCAACACTGGTGCTCCACAACTATGTTTAGTAACAAATTATTTGCGATGTCCCTCACAACACACTGAGCAGTGTCCGGGCACCGTGCTGAGAACACAGTGAATGCCGGGCTTTGGTCTTGTTAGAAGAGGGAACTTGTTTTAGAGTCTGCAGTGAAGTGTGCCCAGCAGCTCCTGGGGATGAGGTTCGGCTTTGTTGCCTTACTCCTGTCCATCAATTCTGGCCCACTGTTTAGGAACTGAGCTTTTTTTCCCGGGGTCTGAAGCCCAAGTCCTGGAAGCCATCGACACCCAGTATTGCTGTCTGGGGTGCTTCTGCTTCAAGGGCTCTCCCTTCAAGGTGCAGAAGGCCAGATGTGTTAATTAACTAGATGCGAGGAATCCTTTCACAACGTATGGGTGTATCAAATCATCAGGATGTACACTTTAAATATCTTAGAATTTTATTTATCAATTATATCTGAATAAAACTGAAGGGAAAAAAAAGATGCAGAAGACCAATAGCTCTGCCCAGCGTCTGGGTCAAAAAGTAAAGCCAGATGCTTTTTCTGTGATCTCTGCTGGTGGGCACCACGCTGAACAGGCCCAGGGCACTGCTGCCCGACACACCCATGAGTTTCTCAAAGCCTGTCTTAGAGTGCAGCTGACGGTCTAGGAATTGGGAGACCGACGGTCTAGAATAAACCTGTCTTTCTCCACCCTCTGCCTCCAGAGAAAAGAAACACTGGGAACGCAGTTCGAAGCACCATGAAGCCCGAGGAACAGAAGATCAAAGACGCCAGGAGAGGTCCCCTGGCACCTTTTCCAAACCAAAAATCTGAAGCAGCAGAACCTCCAAAAACTCCGACCTTGTCTTGTGATTCTCCCAACGCAGCCGTCGGCAAGCAAGCCCTCAAAAAGCCCGTCAAGGGCAAACAGGCCCCCAGGAAAAAGTAAGTGCCTCCTGCGCCCTCCTCTCAGCACAGAGCAGGCTGGTTCCTCTGCGCCCAGTGAGGCCTGCTCAGTGCCGCCTAGGGTTAAGCGGTCTGCCAGCTCAGCCTCTCATTAAGGCTCAGCTTCCTTGAGTCACCACCAGTGACACCATTATTTGTTAGCATCTCAGTCTGGCATGGGTCCAGAGCTGCAGAGCCCCCCTCCCCCCCAGAGAAGGCAGCCTGCCTTTGACACACTCTCTGAGGCCCCTGTGGGTAGGCCAGCCTATGTGACCACAGGCCGCAGTGGACAAGGGTGTTTAAGTGACCTCCTTTCCAAGGAGCCACCTCCTACGGATTTGTGTGCCTCCTGGATGTGAGTGGGGTTTCAGCGCTAATGTTTGTTTTCTCCTCTTCCTTTCCTACCCCAGAGCTCAAGGAAAAACGCAGCAGAATCGCAAACTCACGGATTTCTACCCTGTGCGAAGGAGCTCCAGGAAGAGCAAAGCCGAGCTGCAGGTAGAGTCACTTGGTTTCAATTCTGGCTCTTGGAGGGCACGGTTGCCCAGTGGGCAGTGCTTGGCATGCACAATCTGACCTTTGTTTGTCATCTTGGGGCAAGTCCCTTTGCCTCTGTGGCCTTGGTATTCTCCTTGGTCTCATGGGGATTGTCACGATGCTTGGGGTCCTCTGTGAAGGAGCCTTGTAACCTGTAGCACATGGCATGGAAAGTCAGGAGTTACGGTAAAGGCAGCTTTTCCAGGACCTGTGGGCAGGGCCACTGGAGCCTAGGACCGTGAGGAAGGCTGCATGTTCTTTCAGAGGCTTGTCTGTCTACCGTCTAGAAGTTCCCATGTGTGTCCTGAGGTGGTAAAGAGCAGTGGCTTGGGAGCCATTTACTGGCCTTATGACCTCAGGTCAGTACTTAACTGCTCTGCGCCTCGTGCCCTGTCTGTAAAATGGGATAATCGTACCATGTGAGGTTGTTGGGAGGATTAAATGCCTCAAAGCACATAGAACGCTCGGAAGTGTGCTTAGCGCACTGTCATGCACCAGTTAACTCTTACCGTGGTCACCGTGGCTTCCCCAGTGTTGTCGCTTCCTGAGGCTCCTCTGCTCTTCCCCACCCCCCACCCTCCCTAGGGACATGGGAGGCCTCCACCCGCCGGCTGCTGTTGTGTTTGCAGAGCTCCGGCTGCTGTTGTGTTTGCAGAGGGCTAAGCTCCACAGCGCCAGTCAATATTGGTGCAGTGAGCTGTGATTGCTGCCTTTCTGTTAAGGAGCCCAGGGCGTGGCCGGCCCCGCACCCCGGGCTGCCTCCCTGCTGCCTCCCAGGGGTGTCTGGCCAGCCCCTCTGCTTTCCCAACCCCTAAAGTGACCTCAAGGCTGAGGAGCAGTGCTCAGGATTGCCGCCCCCGCAGAGGAGGGGGACCCCGTCCTGTCCGTGTTAGCGTCCCAGCCCACAGAGACTGCCTCCGCACTGGACAGGTTAAAGCTGTAGATAGATATGGCGATCCAGTATTCTGTTTCTTTTTTTCCTTTGAATCGATGAGGCTTCATTTAAAAAAACAAAAAAAGGGCCCCGTTCCTCCCCCCGCCCCCCCCCCCCCCCCCCGAGAAGCTTTGGCTTTATTTCCTTAGAAAGGCAGCGTCTTTTGGCCAAGAACGAGCTGTTATAAAATGTTTGCCTGCAGTGGAGGCTGTGCTGGGTCACTCTTCCAGACAGCACTGCAGAGGGCAAGGCTGTGCCAGGCCCCAAGACGCCTCCCCGGGGCGGTGCGGTGCTCACACGGAGCGTGGGGGGGTCACCAAGGGCCACCGTGGGCTGTGGGGGCAGCTGAGTGTGGCTTTTTAACTAAAGAACAAGGGCTTTTCTGTCTGGAGGCGTGAAAGCTGCGGTGGGGCGTGAGCCGGGCCGTGCGTCTTGCAGATGAGCGGAAGGGAGTGGACGCCCACCTCCCCGAAGCGGGGTCTGCGGCCCAGCACGGCCCTCTCTGTCATGGGACGATGAGCCAGTTGTGGGGCACCAGGCTGCACCCCCGCTTGTGTTGGCTCCGCTGAGGGAACACCAGGGCCAGGTGGTCACTGGCCAGGGTGACAGGGCTGTGCTGGCCCGGGTGGCGTCTCCTGGCGGCACAGGTGAAGCCCTAGGGCGGGACCCCGGGACCTCCTCTGAGGGGCAAGGCCAGTCCTGGCCTGATGGCCCTCGTGGGCTGGCAGAAAGCGAGGCTCAGTCGGGCGGGCTTGGGAGAGGGCTGTGGGTGGCCAGGGTGAAGCGGAAATGAAAGGTCTGCGGGTGCCTCGTTGTGTCTGGAGACAGTGGGTGGGGCCGCATTCAGGTCCAAGTCCAGGTCCAGGGCAGGAGGGTGGAACCTGGGGAGCCTGGCTGCGAAGTGGGTGACAGCCAGCCCTGGGGCGGGGACTGTGCCTGTTGGCAACGCCCTGGCTTCCTCATCCTCAGCCCCGCCCCCCCCCCCCCCCCCCCCCCCCCCCCCCCCCC